TGTTGTGTATAGTAGCCCATGTGTCCGCCGAGGGTGGCATTTTCAAGTTGCACTTTAAGCAGCCGCGACTATCTGCACGCACAGGTAGTCGGTCAAGTGTCTGTAAGTCAGCGATTCGGAAACACCTGCCTGTGAAGATGCGTGAACTTGAGGTAGTGGACAGAAATCTTGGCTGTCCGCCACAGTTCCCCCTCAGACGCAAAGCAGAGTGAAAGCGTTGATACGCGAGCCGGCCACTATCAGGCCAGTGGAGATGAAGGCCAAATTTGGTGCGAAGAATCGGAAGGGTGTCGTCGCTAGTAGGTACTGGCGGTGGTAACTTCAGCGGCATGTCTGCGGCTGGGCGTTGGGTTAGGGTGAGGTCGCTTCAGCGTCCCCAACGTAGGCCATTTCGACAGGGTCGATGCTGACATTGTCTGACTTGGCGTTGCGATCTATGATAAAATACTTGTCAGATCGTCAAACAGTTTTGTACGGCCCGTCATAGGGAGGTCAAAGTGACCGGTGGGCAACGTCATATCGGACCGGGACGAACTCGTACGCGTCGAGGTCGGGAGCGATGAAGAAGTTGCATGACCTTGAGGCAGTGGGCATTAAACAGGGAAGTCGGACTGCGATCTTGGCTGTCCGCTGCGGTAGAAAAACCGGGTCTATCTCCACCTTCTTTCTTCCTAATTCGTAGGACTGTTTTTTTGCTTTGAGCGCCTTCTATCCCACCCCCTTTTCGTTAAAGCTTTCTTTTACTGTTTATCTGACTTAAATGTGTAATCTTTATAAAATACTTTGAAAACCTTATAAAATTTTAGGTAAAAAACTGCAATGGCAGTTTATAAGGGCTACAAGGGTGGACCGGTCGGCTACGGCGACCCTGACGACAAAACGATTGCTGACACAGAGCGAAGTACCATCTTCTCTAAGTTTGTCCAAGAACGCTTACTGTTTGATCTCTGTTCTGAACAGTGGACTGCCTGGAGGAAATGCATCCGTGCGCACAAAGACAGTTGGGTGCCTTCGCGAAAGTGCAAACTCGAATTTGCTGCTGTCAACGAGTGCCAGAATAAGTAAGTCGTTGTGCATAGACGCTAGTGCGTCTGCCGTACTTGGGGCCCATCAGCCGCGTGATTATATAGCGCGACTGCATCCTCCTGCATTGCACAGTTTCAGTAACATAAATTAAAATGTTCCTGGTGATTTAAAGCAGAAATGTTTATGAGTTAATTAGCTGCTATTTACTGAGCAATAGCAGTGCCAGTCGAGCGTATTTTAGGCAGCTTTTTGTCAATAGAGCAACCCGGACTTGCAGTCTTGTCTATCTGTTGTGCTAGTGAACTTCACATTTCTTGTTTTGAGGCATGTCGTTAACAGCCCATTGGAGGTCAGCCCAACTGAGAACAAAAGATAGGCTAGTTCGTGTTCCGTTTTTGGCCCAGCTGCTGGCTACCGCACACGTCAACATTGATGAATAATCAGTTTTGCCGATCGCTATGGTCTAGCGCACCACCTGCCCTACAAATTTCGTCAATCGCCGTTTTCGAGGCGCCAGAAATAGCTGCAGGGGGTACCTTCATGCGCTTGCGTCACTGCGATGTAACATACCAAAGCAACACCAAAACCGTTAAAATATATTCCCGTTTACTCGCTTCTATTCAACTCAGAAAACCCTGCTTGCTGTTTTTTCTGACTGCCCGCTGGGGATAACTCAATAGCGGTATATTTCTTATTTTGTGCATTTATTATATAAATGTTAGCGGTGGTGCACTAAGCGGGCCAGTCACAGTGCTAAAGGATCGTGACAGATTGTTCTATTGACAACAGCTCTTTGGCTTGTTTCGTGACTAATTGTCAGAGATCCTGCTTTTGCTGAGTAGTTTTATGAACCGGCTGCACGCCGCGAGAGCTGGCTTTCCCCCGACCGAAATCAACAGCAATTAAGGAAGAAGAGAAGTGTATTAACTTATTCTAGCAGCGTGTTTACGGAGATCAGGAAAGATACGAGAATGTCCAAGACTGGACTGAAATCAGATCAATCAGACAGTATTCGTGAGTGATTGGTATATAGAGTGGACCTCTGATTCATCTGATTTGTTAGGTAGGACTTCTGTCCCGACGGGTGCTGGCGCGACATCGGTACGCGCAGGCAGATCAATAGAGTGACGTGCGAACGAGCCGATTAGGACGGATCCCACTAAGAAGTAGAGGGCCAGTTTTATGCTGAAATTCTTTGCACCCGCTTGCATAGCTTTGACTATACGGGCGGGCCTCGATGATGTCGAGAATCGCATCTGTCCAGTCAAGACTATCTGTAAATTGGGTTTGGAAGCATATCAATGACAGACTATGAAAAAAAAAAACATTTTCACGTCTTGGGAACATGTTATTCACGACTGAGCACCCGTTTCACAAATTTATTATCAGGAGAGAAGTCATAAGCTATAGTAAATAAGGCCTTGTCTGTTGACGTCTTAAACTGATGTGCCATGGGGAGTGAGTGGCGCTTTTAGGAAACGCACGGGACGACCGAACTTAAATAACAGCAACAAAACGAAATGCACGACAATTTACCTGGCTTACTAAGTGTATAAGCACTTCCCAACGTTTCATCTCTTAAGCTTATGCTTATGTTTAAAACAACTTTACTGATGTGTACATTTTACAACGATTAGTTTTTTTCCCGCATTTTTAAATCACCCAAAATCACGGGATCCGCCTATTTCCTGAAGGAGACTTACATAACTCAACGTGTTCACCTAGAGACTCCTTCTATCCACAGAGCCGTACAGTAAACATTGATCAAGTAGGAATGCGCATACAGGGGTCTATTGGCTTCCTGAATAGGAAACTCAGTCAGGGGTAAATGTGTCAATGAATTGGTCGTTTTGTCGCTGGGACTGATCAACGCGTTTTCAAGCTACATCCCTGGCTAGGAGAAGGCACTTCTTGAGGTTAATGGCTTTCAGTTTGTAAAAGCTGATCGTTTCAAATATTTCGGAGTGAGGAGGCTGTCGAATGGACTGAGTAAGGTTTAGCATTCTATGCCGAATGAACGTTGCTCGCAACTTTTCTCAAAACGTAGAAAACACCTATAGATCGGACGCGATATCCCCATCATCACGAAGATCCGTGTGCACCGCGAATCCGTCCTTACCTGTGATTGTGAATGATGGGTGGTGCGTATATATGAGTAAGAATTGGTCACCACTGCTTGAGGACCATTCTGCGAGTGAAGTAAACTGTCTTATTTTTAAACGAGACAATCCATACTCGCTGTGACGATATCGCGCTATCCAAGAAAGAGGACTGATATGATTTGGGCACGTTCTTTGTCGTCCATCACACACGCTCGACGTTACTGTCTCCGATCCAGCACAGTTACCCATTTGGAGCAGTCAAAGAGTTCAGTACTACTGCCTTCGATCCGGCATTACTGTTTACTAGGTGTCGAAGAAAGGATCAACTCAAAACCTGACTCGATGCAGTTCGTCAAGACATGCAAGTGATTCTTGGACCGTCTGCTTTTGGTCTCCGTCGTCTCCAGCTCTGCTGCCATGGAGATTCACGCGTGGAGAGATAGAGATCATGACATCATCGACGCCGGCTGGATTAGGCATGATGGCAGCCGTTACAGGCACAAGTTAGGGTAACGAACAGGCAACCGCCTGTCGGGCTAATCGCGGTCAAGCGTTCGGGCGGATCGACGCGAAACTTTTCCGTACTTATTATGTTTTCATATAGTCAAGCGTAACACTGACCGACATCAAGGCCTAAAATAAAAACAGAAGCGAGCACGTGGCACAGGCTGATCACAGATAGGGTCGTAAGCTCCTCATCCAATCGAAGTTCATCAGACCCTCGTAACCTGTCATTTTTTCTCGCTGTTAATAGGCTTTTTATGTTTTTATCTCAGCCTTCTCTTCATCTGATTTACTTTGCACCCATCCCACCCGGTCTGCAGGACAGAAAATGCCAGTTTACAAGGCACTGATCCGATTGCTTATGTAGTTCCCCTCATTAATCTCTACTCCAAGCATGTTGTCCTACGAAAACGGTGGTTATAGGGTTTTATGGGTGGGGAATTAGGACAGGCAATGGAATACACTTTAATAACTGCTAAG